TTGTTTTTAAGAGTTGGTCCTCTTGTTAGATTATATGATTAAAAATGACACAAAAATAACAATCAAATATCTTATCATTAGAACTTTAATCTAATGTAATTAGGTTCCTAACACAAATAATTTGAATTTAAACAAATAAATAACTAAAATGTGTCAAGCATGAGTAATTAACTCTTCATTTCAAAAAATAATGAAAATTTTTGAATTTAAATATAATATTATTTTACGAAAGAATGACAAAATAATTGGAGACCCCGTTCCCATAATGTTTCCCTAAATTTATTTACACGTCATAATACAACAAATCAAACATTGGAACAACAAAAACAATATATGGAATCAAAATTACACACAAAAATGGGTGAACAAATAATAAATAAATAAATAAATGGGTCCAAAAAATTACCAGAGCTACAAGAGGTGGGTGGATCTTTCCGTAAATCTTTGAGCTCCTTCAAGATCCATTTCGAAGCCATCAAAAGATTCAAAACAAATCAACACGGAGACTTGATCAATGTTCTTATTTTAGAACATACAAAATAAAAATATATGTTAATATTGCCTCCGTTTGGGCTCCATTAAAATATGTTTTGGGGGAAAATTGTATTTTGAAATATTAATTTTTTAAAAAAGTGATTAAATTTTTTTTTTTTTTTTGAATTTACAAGTAATATTATTTTAATAGAGAATACATATTTAAAAACAGAAGCAAAAAAAATGTATTTTGAGAAAAAAAAAATGGAACCCAAAAATGCATGTGTTTGAGCCACATTATTTTGAAATATTTTGGAATAGTAGATTGATGGAAAATGTGTGGTTGAAAAACAAGGAAAAATTATTTATATGATGAAAAATATTATTTTATTGAAGAATGTGTGGTTAAAAATGAGTATAAGAATGAAAATGAAAATTTTAATGTGACTCAAACAGGGGCATAATGTGTGCAGAAAGATAGACGCATGTGGCAACTGGCATGTTCGGATGTTAATCGGATGTTTTGCTTTTTTTATTCCTTTGGATCTGAATAAATCTCCATCGATTTCCATCTATTCAAATCGTCCATGCTAAAAAATTTCCCTGCATTTCACAACTAAACAAAATCTGTAGAACATATAATCATTAGTGAAGAGATGAAAATTTTGAGGATGAATCTTTGGTGATGAGGGCAAGGAAAAGATGCAGAGAAGTGATTTGCTGAAAAAAAAAATTAGGAATGAATCGACAGGGAAGAGAAGCGTTGACTTGATTTTACGAAAGATAAAAAAATAGGGTAGAAAAAGTGGGAGGCAATATTTGAGTAACATATGGAGGGAATCATTTTGTGCTTCTTAATTTAGTAGGCCATTTAATGAATTCCATCGTATTATGTTTAGATATAATTTAATTTAATTTTATAGCTTTATCTGCCAAAAATGTTATAAAATCTATCAATTATTGTAGTGCCTAAATTATAATTTTGCGTGCTGTACATAAGTATTTACAAAGCGCCTTTTGAGCTCCATTTTTTTTAAAACTAATAATGCATTTTTGAATAGTAGATTAATGGAGAATGTATAGTTAAAAAATAAGGGAAAATATTGAATTTGCATGTAATATTATTTTATTGAAAAATATGTTGTTGAAAAGAGAGAAAAATATTATTTAGAAATAATGGGAATCGAACAAGGGTTAATGTTTTACATAATGATGAGCTGCCAAAACGTAATTGAGAAAATTATTTGATTGATGAGATTTTTTTCATTTTGATTCAATTAAATCTTGTAATGTCTTCTGTTGGTAAACAGTTATGTAAGTCGTTATTAGCACAGTCGAAGGAAAAATAAGTCGAGAGTAAAATGACACTTTTCTGTTTTTTTTTCCCATAATTATTAATAATAATAACAAAGCCTTTGTCAGGTGAAAATTAAAATCAAATATTTAGTAAAATTTGATAAAATTTGAGAAATATGTAATTGAAAAGTTATGAATTTCATTAATTAAAATTAATTATTGAATTTTAGTTAAATTAAAATTTTAATTTTAATCCTTGAAAAATAGGTGCAAAATCTTCAAAGTTTTGCCACGCGGGCACGCCTTGCTATTAATACACACAAATGGAAACCCCCTCTCCTCCGTTATCCCTCTTTCCATCTGCCCTCCTCCATTAATAAGCATCATTTATTGAATCCTTCGTAAATAACTCCCTCTAGAATGAACGCTCAGACTCCAGCTCCAGCTCCAACTCCAACAACCCTCAATCCTAATGCACCCCTATACATGCCCAGACCTCCTGGTGTCACAGCCCTTCCCCCACCACATCCGCCGCCACAATATTTTCTCTGCTCGTCTCCGTCCTCTGCCGCTCTCTTCCACCAACAACCTTCTCGGTCTTTCAATTACCATGTCCCATTTTACTCACAACCCTTTTCCAGTTCTCCCTATAACATTCAGGCACAAAACCCTATTATCACCACCTACTTGCCTCTACTTCCACCCCTACCACCAACAGCTTCAGCAATGGAACCGCCTCAACTGGCGGCAAGTCGTTGTTTAACTCCGGCTATTGCAACTTCTGTCCAATCCGAGGGGGTTCCAAGAGCTGCCGCAGCGCGTAAAAGGTACTCCGAGCCTGCTAACACTGGGAGAGGAGGCGCATGGCAAAGAGGTGGGCGGGTCGGAAGAGGGTTTCAGCACGGCGGTTCATGGCGGAGAGGTGGTGGAGGAAGAGGGTTTTTTGGAAGAGAGAATTCTTCGAATAATTTTGAAAGAAGAAAACAACTAATTGGAAAAGGGAGTTTTCAAGAGGGAAGTTGTAATCCAAAAAACACTAGTAAGAATTTTCGCAGAAATCGCAAGTTTGAAAAACGGAACGTGCAGGAGGAGGAAAATAGGCATCAAGTATTACCTCTTAAACGGGATGAAGTGAAAACAACAGTCATGATCAAGAATATACCCTATGATTACACGTATATATTTTACTTATTTTCATTCGAATTCCTTCGTAGTTTTTGCCTCGTTAAATTCTCTTCTTCCAATCATCGTGAACCTCTTTTTTCTTCGTAGTTTGTTTAGGGTTTCTGTATTTCCATTCATTTTCGTTAACTTAAAATCTAGTCCATTACACGGTGGACCTTGCGCCATTTGATTTGCTGATTTCCGTATGAGCACGACCCAAAGGCGATGTCCAATATTTCGTAGCAAACATAGTCACGAGTGGTGTTTCTGGTTTTTTGCGGGCTGGGGTCTTATATGCTTTTCCCTCGGCCTTGTCTTCTCAACTTGACTTCTAATTAAAGGGATCTTTAATTTTTCCGAAGAGGGTTGTGTTAGTTTCTGTTTAATTTTGGCTAACATTTTTTAATCAAATTTGCAGACGCAAAGTGCTGTTACGACGCTTGGATGAATTTTGCATACTCGAGAATCACAAGGCCACAAATGAGAGTACTTCTGAAGAATCCGAAGCACCCATTGTTACAGCTTATGATTTCTTTTATTATCCCATTGATTTTAGGTATGTTACATGCTAATCAGACTTTGATTTCAGTCTAACGAGCCCAGATGATTTTTTAGACATAATTATGGAGATGGGGTCGATTGATTTGAATATGCAGGAGTAAAAAGGGCAGAGGCTTTGCCTTTGTGAACTTTACTCATCCAAGAACTATTTGGAAGCTCTTTGATGCATTTCACCATAAAAAATGGGATTCTGTAGAATGGGCCAAATGGCCAAAAACAATCGAGATTGTTTCTGCAAAAATTCAGGTAATTTTATGGGCTTTACGAGTCATCAAAGTGTGAAAGTTAAGGTAAAGAGTCCCGTTTTAAATTTTCTGGTTATGTTCTCAACAAAGCGTGCTTTCATTTTTAGTTACTGATCAGTGAATAACTGTAAAAAAATCCATAGGGTAAGGAGGCACTGAAGAAGCACTTTGCAGAATCCACATTTGAGTGCGAATCGGATGAGTTTCTACCCGTATCCTTTAGCCCGCCACGGAATGGCTCGATTGATCGGTCTGTAAAACTGATAACAATAGGGAAACGTAAATCCACTCCATATCGGGAAACCAAAAATAATCATCAAGCCTAGGCCTTGGTACCTTTTGCTTGATTTGGTGTACTGCCAAATTTACAGAGATTTCAGTGATGATGACACTATTACAAGGGTTTTAGCTAGGATTAGACGCTTTCTTTCCCTGCGGTATCTCCTACAATACTGTCAAGATAGAGATAGACTAGCTGTAAAATAGGGTTTATGTTTCTAGGGTTTTAAAGAAATGAGGGTTGATCTGGGCACCTGGATTTGATCATCATTTGATTGTGCAGGTGGTGGGGTCTACCCTTTCCTTTTTTCCGTTGTATCTCAGTTCTTACTTCCTAGTATTGTATGTAACTGTTTTATGCAACATTGTCACTATTGTGGAAACTAAAGGGCTGCAAATGAATGTTGCAGACTTGCAGTGTTTTTTCTATATTTGAGGATGCATTACTGGTGGTTCAAGGTGTCTCTGGGATTTATCCAGTTATAATTTATGGGATGGTATGCGTCCTATTTGCTTGTGCTTGGAAGAAATTGAAATTTACATTGAAGTTACTTATTTTGTGAAAGTTACTTTTTTATATACCGAGGGTAACCAAGAATTAAATAGTAACTTTGGGATTTGAAAGTTGATTTAGTGCACTGACAGATGACTGTATATAATGATGGCTAATTAACTAGGGTTCAGAATACTATCTTTGAGCTCGATTTAGCCTTGATGGCTATTATTGAGAACGATGATGTTTTGTATAGTGATTTTTTTTTGGAGAATGTACAGTTAAAAAATAAGAATTTTTTTTTGTATTTACGTGTAAAATTTTTTATTGTATGAATGTAGTTGAAAATGAGTGAAAAATTAAAGAGTTGTTTTACAGGGAGATAAACATGGCTTAGTTTCCTGCTATTCTTTTAGTGCTGTTGTCTACAATTTGTAGATAATATAATTTAGGGATAATTGCAGCAAAGGTCTCAAACCTTTCAAATTTTTGTGCACTTTACCCTAACCTTTGATTTGTGCCAGCAAAGGTTCCAAACCTTTCAAAAATATGCGTCGGAGGTCCAAATGGATG